CACACACGCAACCCGGGGTTTAAGGCCTCCTGTGGAATGATTGGAAATAACCAGCTCAAGATGCTACATTACAAAGGCTCGAGCTCTGCTTCTACTGCCTGGCAGTCTGTTAATCAAGGCCAATCAACAGGCCCTACACACTGGTTCAACACACACACACACGCAAACACACACAAACATGGGCAAATGCACAGATGATCCAAAGAAACATATCTCATCTCACATGTCCCATGCAGCTCCAGCCAAACATAATCAGGCCATGTCAAAGGGCTTCTTGAAGGTCTAATGACCTTAACCAGCTACACCAGGAGAGAGGCTGCTAGTTCACTTACTATTCAAAGTAACACACAACAGTTAGCCTCAATCTTACTGGAGAACACATTTCTACACTATTTTTCTGCAAGGCAAACAGACATAATATCTGTCAGGAAAAACAATTGTGTGTATGTTGTCTGCATATAGTAGGGATGTGTACTGGCAAGAATCTGGCGATACGATACGTATCAAGATACAGTGGTTACAATTCATTATACTTATTTATTTTATCTAACTTTAGGAAAACTGTAACAAACTAACTTTAACCTATACAAGGTAAAGAGTTTAAAAAAAAAAAGGAGAGTAGAATAGTACATCCACTGTTTTGGTCAGTGAGAGATCCAACTTTGTGTAGTATGCAACTTTTATTTCTTTGCTTTTACCAATTCAATTCAATTCAGTTTTATTTGTACAGCACCAAAGACACTTTTATACAGTAGGTCACAGTTCCATTTACCACCATTGTACTGGGGTGCAGGCACAAACCTCAGAGAAGCCTATTTCTAAACCTGGAGAAATACAAACATAGCTATCTGCATGGCTACATACCACTAGAGCTAAGCGTAACAATACAGGTTGTTTTTGTAAAGTTGGTAGGATGGCCCTCCAATACAATGAGAAAAAAACAGTCACATATAAACAGCCGCTTAGAAACATTTCACTATAGGGGACAAGAATTGCGGATTATAAAACAAATATGTTTGTAATCCTATGACAATAGCTGCAACAAAAAAGTGTACCCTGCTGTTTCAATAGGCAGCCCAAGGAAAATTCCAAGTTCAAGTGCTTTCAAAAGAAATAAAGAGCAAACCTGTGGGTGCACCACAATACGCTCTCTGAATGTTTCCTTGTTCCATTTGTTGCCTTAATAGATGAGTGACAGCCGTGTAACATAAAGGAATGAAAAGGAGGGGGGGGGGACGCAGAGACAAAGAAAACAAGGCGGACATCAAAGGTTACAATAAAGGTAGAGGAGGAGAGTGCCTTGTCATTATTTGGAAGGAGCGATCAAGAGGAGGCTGAATGCGAGCGGAAAGAGACTGCTGAGTGTTTTGGTCCAGTCTTTTAGATCATTAACGTGTAGCTCTGAGTTTCATTAGTCCTGCCAAACCTCTGCTTTGTGGTCCTCCAAAGGCCTGTCTTTTAGACCTCCGCTGGCCAACAATGCTGCGTGACCTTGGGATTGGGGAGAGGAGACCATTACAACAAACCTCTCCTTCATTTCCCTCTGCTCCTCTCTTGGTCAAGACTAACAGAGGCCTGTACCAGGGCAGCTCCTGAAAGCCCTTCACATTTCAAAAGTGCTACACCCCCAGAGCCTGGGCAGCCACCTTTTGTGTTGAGCGGAGGGGGGGGAGGAGACCATACACAAACTCTCCTTCATTTTTCCCTCTGTCCTTCTTGGTCAGACCTAACAGAGGCCTGGTACCAGGGCAGCTCCTGAAAAGCCCTTCTTTCAAAAGTGCTTCGCCACCAGAGTGCTGGGGCAGCCACTTTGTGTGA